AAAAGTATCGATACTTTGTGGTATCGAGTACTTTTCCTTTCGATACCGATACTTTTGTACTCGATACTTTGTATTCGATACTTTTATTTATTGAGTACTTTTTGGCAAGTAAGTATCGATACTTTTAAAATTTGGACAAGCGCCTCATATTGTTATGATATATTCAAATTCTTTCCAATCTGTGACTGTGTTTATTTTGCGCTTTGTTTTGTTTCATAGTTATTTATTTAGCGACCATATTGTTAGGAATTGTGATTGATGATTCGCCGTTTATTGTGCTTTTCGCTTGACTGCATTTGATGTATTCAAGTATAACACTATTATTCTGTCTGTGCAGTGTATACCTATTTGAAACCACGGACCTGAAAAAAAGACGGACGTAACCTCTTCTATAATTATAATATTGAATGAAGCATGCCAATGGCCGCCGTTAACTGCGTGTCAGATTCAAGTAACATTTTAATTATTAATGTGATATTAATGAACACTTTTTAAGTGTCAGAAATCACAGCTATTTTCTTTTCATTATATAATATAGCAATTTGTGAATTTATATGTCCTTTTACTGTTATTATACGTACTATAATAAAATTGGATTGTTTTTCTTTCAATTTTTAACCCGGGTGGGGGGGGGGGGGTTGCTCATCGGGCCACAGAGGATCCGATAAGGCCCTATGAAATGTACTCGATACTTTGAAGTATCGATACTTTTGTTTCGATACTTTTACGAGTACGATACTTTTTTACCGATACTACTCATGAGTACAGTATCGATACTTTCTATTCGATATCGTGTCCCTAGTCAAAATGGCTTTTCAAAGAAACACCCAAATATAACTGGTGTATTTTAAATAGTGGTGAGGCTACTCGTCGCTCACAACCCCACGAAGGAGTCAGTGCCCCCGATCTTTCCGTCTGTTCACCTAATTTAGCTTCTATCATTTCTTGGAAAACTTTATCTTCCACTTATGGTAGCGATCATTTTCCAATATTAATAAATTTTCCTTTAACATCATTGTCTCGTACTAATAATCGCTCTCCTAGAATGAAATTTAAACTTTAAAATGCTAATTGGTTTTTGTACTAACAAGAAGTACAACAGGTAATTTCTAACCTCCCGTCCATCGAACAAAACAATCATGAACATGAAGTTTGTGCAGAAGCCTTTGCATGTGCTTTGCATTGACTTTGTTGCAAGCTGCAAAAAAGGTGTTCCCAGTCAAAAATAATAATCGTAACAAGATTCCATCTCCCCCTTGGTGGGATAACGAGTGTTCATTAGCAGTTAAAAAAAGAAAGCTTACAGAAAAATTATATAGAGAAAATTCTACGAACGAAAACTTTGATTTATTATCTTGTGTAATGAACGAAACAAAGAAGCTTCTTAAAAAAAAGAAATGGGAAGGCTGGAAGACCTTTTGTACATCTTTATCACCTGACGTCTCACCCTCTGTAGTTTGGAAAAATATACGCCGGTTTCGATCAGCTTTTAAAGAACCTGGTGCAACTTTTCTTCCAAAGGATGTAGCAGACAACTTTTTAGATAAACTTGCTCCTCCACTAGTTCCCAATTTCTTTATCTCTAATACTCTTTCCCCGATAATTATTAGCAACAACTTAACCAGTCTCGATTCCCCTTTTAGCCTTGCAGAGCTCAAAGGTGTTTTATCATACGTTAAAGATTTGGCTAGACTCTAACGCTCTTAATCTCTCCGTTTCAAAAAGCTGCGTAGTGTTATTTTTCAGAATGCGTATACCCCCTTCTGTTTCCGTATGTTTTGATAATAAACCTATCCCGGTACAAAACGAAATAAAATTTTTAGGAGTTATTTTAGATGCAAAATTATCAGGTTAATCTCACTGCTATTACGTTACAGCTCGATGTGAACTAGTTTTAAATATCATGAGATGCTTAACCGGTGTTTGGTGGGGTGGACACCCATATACATTGAAACTTCTTTACAACGCTCTTTTACGAAGTATTTTAGACTATGGAAGTTACTTTCTTGAGCCATGCAATGCTGTTGGGCTTAAAAAGCTTGATGGGATACAGTCTAAAGCTCTTCACTTAATAGCCGGTGCAATGAAATCTAGCCCTATCAATGCTTTACAAGTTGAATGTGTGGACCCTCCTCTACGACTCCGGCGTCAATATCTTTCTGACAAGTTTCTGTTCCGTGCTTTGCAATTTGCTAAGTATCCCCTTCATTCCAAATTATGTACTCTCTCACTCATAGTATCATCATCTTCTTACTGGAGGCTTAAGTCACTACCATGTCGTAAGTGTTCGTAAATTTTCCTCTTTGCATTCCCCTACTCACATCTCCCAACGTCTCTCTATTTTTTCTGCAGACTATGACGCTTTAACTCTTGTTCCTAAAATTTATTTTACTTTAGATATATCGCGATCCATTTATTCTGCAAATGTTGATTTTAATATAATCATAGATAGAGACTGGCCAGATCGACATTACATTTATAGCGATGCATTTAAAAACTCTTCCTCAGGCCTCGTTGGTGTTGGAGTTTATTATCATCAACAATCAAAAATTGTCCAACAAATTAAACTACCACCTGAAACTTCTGTTTTTACTTTTGAATGCTACGGATTATTTAAAGCTTTAGAATATATTAATCTGATGAAATTGCATAAATCTGTTATATTTTCTGATTCTAAAAGCGCGCTTCAAGCACTTCAAAAATTTCCTTTTAAATATACCAATCATCCTGTAATTATAGATTGTAGAAAATTGCTCTGGCAATGTCATTTAAAAGGTTTTGATGTAGTTTTTACCTGGATACCTAGTCATATAGGTATTTCTGGCAATGAAATTGCTGATAAACTTGCCAATGATGCTGTGGATTGTGGAGATATTTTTCCATACAAAAACTTTATTAATGATCTTTTAGGTCTTCCTAATTCGGATCTACATGAATCTTGGGAACAAGTATGGTCTGTTTCTAGTAAAAATAAAGGAAAGCATTACTCACAAATTTAAACTTTCATTCCTACAACGCCTTCCGCTCTCTGTAGTAGCAAACAGCATACTCATGTCGTGGTCGGTAATGTCAGTTTGGCAAACCACACCTGTGGCAGAAGAAATTCCACTGACAAAGATGTGGTCCAAGCAAGCTGTGCCTCTGGTTGGCTCAGTGATTGCAGGCATAAGTTGGTGGCTCGCTAGCAGGCAAAGGTAGTCTGAGCAGTGTTCGTTGACAGAATCACAAGTGATGTCAATGTTTATATCCCCTGCGAGCACTACTGTGTGATTTTTGTTTATATTAGACAAGGAATCGTCTAAGAAGTCCAAAAAGTTGTTAACGTTTCTAAAAGATGGTGACCTGTATATACCTAAAATGGTAATTTTATTATTAATATGGAGTATTAGACAATTGCATTCTTCGAAAATGGGCTCCTGAACTATGGTACTCCAGGAATCCTTCACATAAACGGTAATGCCCCCATTTTGGTTAGTGTTATTTTTAGTGTGGAAAGACATATATCCCTGCAACTGTGGAATTATAGGGTCTATACCAAGCCAGCATTCGGATAATATCACCACATCAGGTTTAGTCTTAAGACGAGTCAAGGCGACCACAAAACTGTCAAAGTTACAACGCAGGCTTCTTATATTAAATGTAAGAACTGTTAGATCAGGTTTCACAGGCAAGGGGTTGTTACAATTTTCGAGACTCTCAAGCAAGTAGCATCTAATAGCAAGAGCTTCGTCTATATCATTATGGAAGTCGCACATTTATAAGATGATGAAGCTTCAATCAGCGTAAATTCTAAAAGTTTGAGACTGCTCGAGAGTCTGAGGAATAAATATTCGATGGCGCGTGTTTTGCGTGAGTTGTGTATGTTAGAGTGTATGTAAATTATAAAAGTGTAAATGAAGAATGGTTGTGTAAGTAAGTAGGAGGAATTTGTATTAGCCATTAGTAAATAACATTGACTATAGTGCTGAGAAAGACTGATTACAGTTCGATCACTCAGTAGTAGTCGTAGTAGCAGCGGTAGAACCGTTCGGCTGGTGATGAGCATCCAGGTCATCGAGAGAGTGAACGCAGATAGCTGGTTTCTTCTCAGCCTGCCTGACGTATATCTTGCCGTTTCGTGCCCAGCAGAATTTGAAGCCCAAACTTTTTGCGCGTTGTCTTGCATCACGAAATAAATCACGGTTTAATTTGGTTAATCGTTCGTTTATGTAAATGTTTGCGTGAGCGTCTGCAGTGATTCCATCTGAGTTAAGGCGGCGTCTTGTTTTTGCTGCTTTGATGAGCTCGTCTCTTTTTTGGCGACGTAGCAGCTTAACCACTATTGGTCGTGGCAGGTTGTGGTTGGAGTTGGATGTTGGAGCTTCAATTGGACGCTTCATGCCAACACGTCTTACATCATCTAGGCTAGCTTCGGCAAGCTCCACACCAAGCTTATGAGCAGTTGTTAAAACAATATGGGTGAGATTTTCATTTTTATATTCTGGGACGCCATATATTTCAAGTTCGTTCCGCATTGAGTATTGTTCTTGTGATGCGACTTGTTGCTGTAGCTGAAATACCGTTACCTTAAGTGAAGCAATTTCTATGTCTTTTGCTTTTAGTTCCTCAGTGATTTCGCACAATCTCTGGTCTAGGCACTTAAACATACTCTCAGTTTGGTTTCTGGTCCTCTCAGTTTCTTGTCGAAATTCGTTCCTGAGTTCACGTATTTCCGAGATAAGTAACGAGATGTCAGTGTTTTGCAAAGATGGACTGTCTATTTTTATAACCTTTTGCTTGCTGCCTCTTGTCGTATTTATGTTTTGGCTCTGCTATATTATATGAAATATGATATTTATTTATGTATTTCAAATTTTATCCTTAAACATAATATTAAACTGTAAATATGTAAATACTTACCTGATCCTTTACTAAAAAATTCCGTTCCTTTTTTTATCCTGTTTCCCTACCTTTACATTTGTATGTGGCTGACGCACAAACCGTGCAGGCTATAAAGGAAAAAAAAAAGAAAAAAACAGTATTATTTATCCAAAACATTGAAATCATTGAATATGCAACAACGGGAAGAAAAACAATTAGAAAATACCATACAAGCAATATTAATAAGAGTTAACGATTTAAAAGGCGCAATTCAAGCTCTAATCACTAAACTAGAAACGGAATATGAAACTATCAACTGGCCTACTTTTTTAGATAATTACGCTATTTTATCTGGACATGTAAGTGTGTTCTAGTATCTACCTCTATTTATTCACGGTTAAACTAGGAATAGATAATAAAACGCCAATGAAACTAAAAAACATTAATGCAACATCATCATTTCAGCAGTACTGAAAGTTATTATCTTGATAATTTTTGCAAGAACATGTTGTTACTGTCTAAGTAACTTGCAATGTTATTTTTTCAGTTAACTGCTTTAAGTAAAATCTTACAAGCTGAGTTAGCAACATCTTTGAGGTCACGTATTGTATTGCCATTACAACTTGGTTGTGAGCGTGATGAATCATTGGCACGGTTGACAGAAGGGAGAGTTCCTGCATGCACTCATGATTTAGTACCAGATTTACTAAGAACTAAGCCAGAACCACAAGCTGAACAACGGTTACATCAATTCAACCACAAGGCTAGCACGCTTAGCTATGACACAGCTCAGGTAATTTTCATTTGTGCATTGATTATGATATATCATGTTTTTGTGTAATGTATTTATAAGTATCATTTTCTTTACAGAAACAAGTGGCGCAGTTTGCTAAAGTTGTGAGTCATGTTTGGGAAATCATCTCTAAAGGTCGTGAAGACTGGGAGGGGGAATCCATGCGGTCTGCAGGTACTTTCAATCATGACTTCTCAATGTGGCAGTTATTTTTTTTTCAAAAGGATTTATTTTTTCAGAGTTCTTGTATGTTTGTATATATTGTGCATTTTCAGCAGCTCTTTTTATCAGCAGCTGGTCAACCGCCAAAGACCACAATAACGGTGATGAAACACCCCTTGTGGAGCCATTGTTGTCTTGAAGCCTTTTATTGTTAACAGAATTCTTACTTGTACATTTCCTTTTCAGGAGCTTTGACTTGGTATAGTGGGTCTTTTGTTTTATCATTCCCTTTTTCGCTCATCTCTTTTGAAATAATTTCTTTAGTGACTTTGTCATTAGATACTTCAATGTCAAGGAAAGCATAGAGGGCTCTTCTTTTTGTGCAAGGGTGTTGTCGCAGTGGTTTGTCTCTGGGCGCACCACACTAGCGTAGTGTCAAAGCGTCGTGATGTGTCATTTTTTTACCTGTAGATCACAGTCATCTATCTCTGATTTCCCTCTATAAAGCTACAAAGTTGGCACTTCTTTAGCAAGTATTTGCCACCGTGCTGTTGACGCAGAAAAAAAAACATAATTTTCTTGCACAATTGAAAAGAAATTTACTATTTCTAAGGAACTTTTAGCAGCGTCATTCACTACCAAATTTAGGCTATGTGCCGCACATGGTACATAAAATGCGCGCGGGTTTATATCTAAAATTCGTTTTTGAAGACCTACATTTTTCCCTTTCATGTTTGCACCATTATCCTAACCTTGACCACGCATATCTTGTATGTCAATTTCGTGTGAGATTAAAATATCTAACAAAAATTGAGTTAAACCCAGGCCAGTAGTATCTGTAATAGGAAAAAACCCAAAAAGTGTTCTTTTACTTCAGGCTTGTTGTTGCTTGCATTTAAAAGAACGAACCTTACGACAACTGATATTTGTTCTTCGTGTGCGACAACTGGAGTGCAATCTAAAATAATTGAAAAATATTTGGATTGTTTCAATTCAAAAATAAGTTTTTTTTTTATTCTTTCTCCTAATAATTGCATTAGTTCATTCTGATTATTATGGCCAAGATAATGAGTTAGGTGTGACTTAGATTTGTGAATAAGGGCAGTGTGTTCCGTAAGCACATTATCAAAATTAAAGGTACCTATATTTAACCAGCTTTAAAAAGTTACCACTATCTGAGTGGATTTTTTTTCAAATCATCACCGAAAAGCAAGACATTGCCTAACTTAAAATTTAATTATGTTAATTATTCGTTCGAGTACTGCTACCCAACGTTTTTCCCCCTTTCAATTTCTTTTTGGTTCAAGAAATCTACCGACTTTTCTTTTAAAATAACAGTTCTCAATGTGATTTGTTTCTTAAGAGCCCTTTCACATTTTTTGCAATAAATCGCAATTTTTGAGCGCCTCGTTTGCCCCCTTAGAAGAGGTTTTGACTACTTCCAATAGAAGTAAACAGTAGATTTATTCTTCCTTTTGAAAATTAATGTAGAATATTTGCAAATACTATTTTCATTTTTTTGTACTGATCGTTCTACCGCAGCTAGTTTACGGAAAAAACGATAATATGCACAACTTAAAACGCCTAAATCTTACAATAATGTTCAATAAATTAGATCAAATTAATTACTATAACATCAGAAATATGTTTATGTTGCAACATAATGTATTAGAATCTTGATTCTAATCAATCTCATTAATTATTAAAATCCATGTAACCTCCGTGAGTTTCCCCAAAAAATAACGCAGGTTTACCTCGTATTTTGATATTGAATTAAATAGAACTACTATAAAAAACTTTCATAAAACTATTCAACAATCATTAAACTATTGAAATATGTATATATTTTTATAATAAGTTCATTAATTATTATTTTATAAGACTGAACATCACCCGTAAAATGCAATATATACTAGTGCAAATCTAGGCGCCGTTCAGTACGGCGCCAGCGCCTTTGGAGGTCGGACCTATGTCGCTTTGTACCGCACGCGTCCCGAGCGATACTACGAGTGCATTCATCGTAAAACTGGCTGGATATACTACGACCGCAGAACTTTAATCGTTGACTGTATGTAAGTTTCCACAACCGTATTAATTTTTATTATTATAAGTACTTCCCTAGTTATTAATTATCGTTGCTTCAACTAATATTTTTGTTATTAGCTTTTACAATGGGGCGTAAAATTCCTTACCATTGTGTCAAAAAAGAAAACGAAAGAATGATGCAACCATAAAGAAAGCTTGTGAAGCAAGGTGAAGATGCTTATAACAGTTAGCTTTATTTTTAAAGCCTTTAAAATGCCATTAATTGATAAAAAAACATGTTATGAAAGTTATTCATCATTAAATTTCCTACAACTTTTGCATAAATCTATTAACTTCAAAAGTATTTATTTAATAAAAAAAAGTATACAAAACTTGTAGGGAATATAATCACGGATAACTTGTATACGACGTTTTTTATCAATTAATGACATTTTTAAGGTGTTATAAAGGAAAAACTACAAACATGTTCAAATAAACAACAACAATTGAAAAACGGTAAGAGTTACACTAAAAAGTTTGAGAGAAAGAAGTTAGAGAATTTAGTAATAAACAAAAAAACACTTCATTTTTTCCGTACAGTCAATAATTTAGGAGATATAGCTATAAACGCGTTTTCCAATAAAGCGGCCAGTTGTGATCACCCTACGTTCCCCGATTTAAACTTAAGCTACTATTGTAAGAATACAATCTACCCTTATGTCTGTAAAAAAAAGCTAGAGTACGGTAAAATGTTGCATTTCGATCAAGTATAATAAGCTCGTGGGCGGCCAAAGTACATATTGGCTCAACATAATAATATATTTAGAATAGAAATTCACAGTTCTATTTATTTAAGTTCTATTACTTTAGAATTACAGTTCTATATATGGAAACAAAAATTTGATGGCAACCCCGAAAATACTGAAACTATACCGACCATAAGTTCAATGGATTCGATTGCAACAGAAACTGTAAGTTTTTCATATTGTTATTAGAAGTAGACAATGAAAAAAGAAATTAAATTTATAACAATAAATTTATTATTATTTAAATTTATAATAATAAATTAATTTATATAGGAAAAAGATGCTGTTGGATTGGAAAACGAAGCCGAGGAACAAAAGGAAGCGTCAAACTCAAATGTAAATATTTTATCTGTTTTATACTGACTTAATGGGTATTTCACTACTACACTAGGTACATAGTTTACAATGTTAGCAGTTTGGTTTATTGTTTTAAACTCAAACTAATGGGATGCATTTCTAGAGCAAAAAAGTTTATTTTTAATATTTTATATTAGACTTCTTTGCTCCATAAGTTCAATTGACAGTAACTTGCTGATTTACGTACCATATCTGTGTCTGGATTGGAAATGTATTTCCAGTATTGCCTGTATCTGTTTATTAAATGAACTATGAAGGCAAAGACAAAACTACACTTAGTAGTTTTACTGAGATATTTGATTACTAGCTTTTGCCCGCGACTTCGTCCGCGTTTTCGTCGTTTTTCGTAAAAAAGTAGCATATGTCCTTCCTCAGGGTTCCGTGGTTTTGATGTGACAGACAGATTAACTTTCGTATTTTAGTAGGGAAATATAATACTGTTAAAAATATCGCAATAAGGAACCGCAGAATATTATTATTATCACTGTGCCCCGAGACCATCAGCGTGTAACTCCTTGTATGTTATTATGTTAATGTATTGGTAATATTGTTTAGATCGCTTTCACATGAGTCTTAAGTACATATAGAATGAAAATACTTCAGCGCAAAGCTTCCGGGTAGACTACGTTGAAATTTGACCCGTCCGGAACGTGAACATAAAAAATTCTAGGACTGCTAACCCGGGAAAGACCGACATAACTGACCATGTGAAAAACAACTGACACCGAGATCTACTCCAACAACACGAAAGGTCTGCCCTTGAGCCTTATTTATTGTCATTGCATAACACACCGATACTGGGAATTGCGTTCTTTTAAATTGGAATGGAAAATTTGGTATTATGGGAATTCTGGGAATAAAGATGGTTTCTCCTGCACCGCAACCTATTAAAATTTGAGCCTCGATTACATTTTGTTGCAACTGGGTTACTTTAAGCCGAGTTCCATTGCAAATTTGTGGTGGTCTTAAATTTCGGAGCAGAATAATCGGAATGCCAATTTTTAAACAAATTTCATGAGAAGGAAGTACGGGCATATTTAAAGAATTTAAAAATTCTATCGGGTAATTAGTGGCTTCTTGTTCATCGGCCATTGTATTTATTGAACTATAAACTTTGCTTTCCCCCTGGATATTCGACAGTATTTTATTATTAATCTCAGATGCCTGGTCATTGCGAGGAGTTAAAATGGACCTTTCGCATAGCCAAGAATTGTTCTTATTTAATATATTTGTTACGTCACCGTAAACTGACGATGTAAGATGTTGTTGGGATTGCACTATACAACATAACTCAGGCGTCAGCATAAGTTTTCCTTGGTGTAGCAGTGGATAGGTATCTTTGGTGAAGGTATTTTCTTTAATAATATATCAGAAAATTCACGATCATCCGGGTTATCTACAGTTCTCACTCGCATGTTTATAGTCAAATGCACCGATGTATATCACGCCACAAATAAGAGCTTTTCAGGCAAGCCTTAACCTCATCAGCTCGGGTTCCCCGTGGTATTACCGGTAAGGTTTGTCGGAAATCACCACAAACTAAAACTGTGATACCGCCCATTGCTCAATTATTTTGTCTTATATCCCTTTAAGTTCTGTCTACCGCTTCTACTCCTTTTCGATGGGCCATCGTACATTCATCCCATATGATTAAATTACACTTTGAACGAATATTTAAACACTACCAAAACAACTAATACGTGGTCCTGACTTTAGCTACCTAACACTTAAAATCTAAGTGACTCTTTAAACTAAAATATTCTTATAGAATTATAACCAGAAATATATACAACTCACAACAAAAAAGAAATGAAAATAAAGCTA